AGACAAGTGGATTACCAGTCTTCAAACTTAGTTTCCTCCAGTTGCTGTTTCTTCACTTATTTGGTGCTCGCTGCCGTTGTTTGGTCTAGTTTTTTGGTTTTGTTTGGTTTGGGGTCGGGGGGGGGGGGGGGTGCGGTTTTTGTGTGGTTGTTTTGCATCTCCTAAAACCCCGTTGCGAAGGTCAGCGAGGCGCTGGGGAGGAAAGCGAGCCTCTCGGAAAGACAGCCGGGCAGTGCCTCCCGCACAGCGGAACTCGGAGTCGGTGAGACACTGCGGCCGCGAACGGGGCAGGGGAGAGGGTGGCACCGGTGAACGCTTCACCGCGTCCGAGGGAAGGCGCCTTCGCTCCGCCAGGAACAGTTTTTCGGGCAGTAGCCGGTGCCGCTCGCACTGGGCAGGATCGTGGCTCTGCCGCCGCCACCTCCTCCTCTCCCCGACCCCTCGGGCCCGCCCAACCTGGAGCCCTGTGGAGAGGCTCGGCAGAGGAGCGGAGCTGAGCGGAGGGGAGCGGATCCACCCACTCTTGCCTTCTAACCAGGCGCGCTCTGCCGATGTACCCGGGTGCCCTCTGGCCGGGACCAGGCGCGCCGGGGGCGGGCGTCCTCCCCCCGGCCCGCAGGCTTCGCCGTGGTCGCGGGCCCCAACAGCACTGGCCTCCTGCGCCTGTCTCGGCTGCTGCTCTCCCTGCCGTGTTATGGTCACTGTTGTTGATGAGGACGACGTTACTCATTATTTAAGGGGGCTGGGGGCGGGGAAGGGAGTTGGGGTTTGGGTTTGATTTTTTTTCCTTTCTAAAGCTGCATTCCAGCGCTGGGGGTTCTGGGCTGGTTTCCTGGAACGTGAAGATCATTGTAGCAGCCCTGATAGGATAAGGGTATTTTGGAGAGGGAAATTTCCCATGGGAATCAGCCTGTTTACAAGAGGGTAGGATTGGGGTGTCCCCTATGCATATTTACAACAGGACAGACTCGTGGGGGACAGGGTTATCCTGCTGCTTCTCTTTTCCCGCCAGTCCGATACCCGACGTGGGACGTGCGCCCTTTGGGACCGGCGAGGGGCCGGGCTCGAGTCGCCTCCCCTCATGGCCCACACAGCCCCCATGACCAACGGGGGAAACGAAAGGGCCCTATTACCCTGGCGAGACCCCCAGCAGAGTCGGGACTTGAAAGCGGGCCTGAAACAACCTCGCTAACCAAAATTTCTGTTCACTACGGAGACAAAATCGCCGCCGTATTTCCTGTCCTCGAACACTTCCTGACACGGGGAAGATAACAAAGGGGAAAGTTTAAAGTAATAAATATACACGATCTACTTCTCTCCACAAGTGCATTCTCGACTGCCGGTGCTAAGGCCAGGCAGCACTCGACTGAAGAGAAACTGGGCTTTTCCAGTCCTCGGCCCGACCCGTGCTCTGACATCTCCTTAACATTTTTTAAGGATTTTCCTCACCCCAGAATTTCTGGGGGAGGAGGGGTGAGTGTATGTGTTTGTGCATTTACATCAACTTCCAGAGACTTCACTCCCCTGCTTACACTACCCGTGTCAGTGTGTCCATTTCTGACTGGATGAATAAGTGGGGCCGGTGATGCCGGGCAGTCCTGTGGTGAGACTCCGAGTGTTACTGAACTCCGTAAAAGCTCTTGGAGAGAAAGGATGGCTACTTTCTGCCTATTATTATTATTATTAAATTAAGCGGTAGCGGGATTTAATAAACCAAATTATATTATTAAAACTCGAGAAGGTTTCCTGGGCACGCAGAAGCCCACTGACAGGTTTTCTTCTGTTTTGATAGAATTAGTGCTGTTATGGTACACTTCTCCCTCACAGGCAGTAGCTCGAAGATTAAAGATCGCACACCTCTAGATGAGTCAAAGCCTACATCCCAGAGCAACGCATACATTTCGTGATTGATTTCTCCGCTGAGTTGTTTCCAGTTTCAGCCTTGTGCCAGACCTCTTCGCCTCTCGGCACATCGCACGGGCTCCTCGCCGCATTCCGCAAGACAGTCAGGGGAAATCTGAACCTCTGTCAACCTCAAATCCAGACTCTTCTTGCACAGCATCCTTTTGGTCCAAAGCTCCTTAAGAAAAGTTTTACACTAGAGCTGACTGAAGAACATTTCTGTCTGCCCGAATGGCGAGGCTGCGCTGAGCCACCGCCATGCCTGGAACGAAAATAGCCCTCTCGACCGGAGCCAGGGGAGCACTGCCTCTGTGGTCAGGTCCTGTGCTCAGAGCCCTGGGAGTGTAAACGCGACAAGCTCCGGCAGGGCGGGTAAGGAGCCCCTGATGCGCCGCTCGCACCCGGCGCTCGGTCGCCGCACCCCGATACTGCCTCAGCCCCTATCAAGGGCATCTAACCCATGTCCTAGCCAGCCCACTGCCTCTCCCCCGAAACAAGCAATACCTCTAATCATTTCACAAAGATGACTTTTTTCTCCTTCCCCCCCCCCTTCCCTGGGAAGTCATCCTGGTTTTCATCACTAAGCAAATTCAGCACAGAATTTATAACGGTGCTTTAAAGGAAAGGGTTAATCGTCGTTGTCGGTTTGGTGGTGGTTTTTGTTTGGTTTTTTTTTGTTGGTTTTGTTTTGGGGGTTTTGTTTGTTTGTTTGTTTTGTTTTGTTTCGGAGGTTTTTTTGGACCCCATTCTCTTCCCTCGAATGCATGTAGTCTCATTTGAGCCCCTCAACGTGATGAAAGCTATTGATTGCCGTGTAGAGTCACAGACTTTTAGCAGGCTCTCCCAGCCCCCACCCCCAAAAAATAAATACGAAAAGGGAGAAAAAGAAAGTATATTTTCGGAAGTGTCTCAAATATGTACAAATCCCATTTTATGTCTTCCCATTCAAGTGTATATTGATATCATAAAAGATAAATCCTTCAGCAGGGTTTTTCTCTCAGTACCTTATTCATTGAGACTGGCAGTTCCAGTCATTATTCCACTCCCTTAAACCCGATTCTGATGCCGGCTAAATATAGAGCTTCCCCTTACTGGGAACGCGAATCGAATACACAGTAAGCAAATCAGTAGCACGGGAGGGGAAAAAAATCCTTGATCAAAGCCCTCCTTTTCTTCCCAATCCTGGTTTGTCGGGGCGGAGACAGGTTTCTCGCTTATTGCACATCATTTGCAAAGATCAAGCTTAACATGCAGTCACCTCTTCCAGAAGTAGTAGTTAAACCAAAAGTTAGGGGGTGGGGGTTAATAGAATTACAACCAGATTGAAGTATTTTCAAACGAGGGTGTAACGGTGAAAAATAAGGTGTGTTATTTCAAAGCTGGGAGGAGCTGTACTTTATTCAGGTCAAATTTTCAAAAGATATACAAACATCCAAGGGGAAAAGATGCATAGGATGCAGTGCAGAAAAATACCTTCCATCTCTCAGTCTCAGAAGACCCTGGTGGGGCTTTTTTTTTTTTGTGTGTGTGTGTGTGTGTGTGTGTGTGTGTGGTTTTGGTTTGGTTTTTTTTTTTTTTTTTTTTTTTTTTTTTTTTTTTTTTTTTTTTTTTTTTAAAGTAAATTACTTTAATTTACTTTTAATATTTTTCCAGCTCTCAGCGCGTGAGGTCACCCCGGATGGAAGGGTATGGGGGGGAAGGGGGACCAGGTATGCCCTGTGGGGAGGGTTGGGGCGGGGAGGAAGGTGACATTGGCAGAGGGATAGGGACACAAAAGCTCCGCTACGCGCGCACCGCGCCGGGCCGCGATCGGTCGCCCCGCGACCAGCAGAGGTCGCCGCGGTGTCTGCGCGCCCAGGCGCGGGGAGAGGCTGGTCGGGCACAGCGCTGTGCCCGCGGAGCGGAGCCCCCGCCCCGAGCGCCGCAACGCCAAGCGCCAGAGCAGGGGGGCTGCGGAGCCATGGGCAGCACGGGGCGCGGCGCTGACCCCCGGCCAGGCTCTACCCGTCCCGGACGGCACCGCAACCCGCCGATTCGAGTGAAATTGGCCATCTACTAGCTGTTTGCCCCAAACATGCGCCAGGCTGACCGAAGCTGCTACGCTTGGCAGTCATTCGTCATAACTGCTCTTTGGTTTGCTCTGCTAACACAGAGAATTATAAGTGTTATTCTTATCCCTAATTACCTAGGTATGCATAATTATACGTATACTAGTTTTTATGTATATATATGTGTGCATATATATGTATATACATGTGTGTGTGCGTATGTATACACATGTGCACCTCCCCCAACACATATATGTATATCGCCAGTTTCTTGGCTGTGGAAGTGATCACCTAGCAGAGTTGCATTTCCCACTGTTTATTTAAACTTTGAATATGTAAATTCACTGTGTGCACGTGTTTACAACCATATCTCTACTTCCTGAAACTATCTTGAGGTCATTTCAAGCCAAATTTGTTATCTCCACAAGTGGCAACGTTGGATCCCACTTCTTGTTTGTAATAAACCTGGAGGGTGTGTTTGCCCTCTCAGCCTCAGAAAGGAAAATATCTTGCAAAGTTAGTAATCCGAGAAGGTCCGTTGTTTAGTAGCTGTCTCATCAGCAAATGCGAGTTTCAGAACTATTTCTTGACTGTTTCTTTTCAAGCAGATTTCTCCTAGGTAAATTATTCTGCATTAATATGGTTTTGCCTCCCTTACACCCAAACTCAGTTGCCTTTTAAAAACATAGGACATCAAAAATAAATATATTTTCCTGACGCGTAGCGATTGGAGGGCACTTCTACACTACGTTGTTGAGGGCGGTGTAATAGTTCATATGAAACAGAAGACAAAAATGGGATCTAAACAAACTCAAAGGGAACGTTTAAATCGCGGGGTGGAGAAGGTGGATGTCAGAAGGGCATGGGGCGGACACGCTCGGGAACGGGTACAGTTCCTCACACGGGCTAAAGGACAGGCACTGAGTAGCCGAAGGGAAGCCTGCCCTTTGAAAAACACACACAAAGAAATCAGTGCCCAAAGAAAAGTTGTATTTTGCCTGGTTTGGGAAACTTTCAGATAACTTCTCGCTGAAGTCCGAGGTGCGCCGTGCGCCCCTGAGCAGCGGTGGACGCGGGCACCGCACCGCACCGCACCGCACCCCGCTTGGCCGCGGCTCTCGGCTGAGGAGTTCCCATAACGCCTCCAGGGAGCAGCGCCGCAGATCCTTTCTAACAGCAAGTCTGCGTCTTCTCTACACCTTTTTTTATAAGAATTTTAAGGGATTCTTCTTGGGGAAAGGCAGAAGTTCTTGAGAGGCAATTTAAGGTAAATATTTGCACCTCCTTCGACCTTGTGTTTTAACAGAAATACATGAAGATTTTATCCGCGGTTTTAAGAGAAAAGGAGACGGGAGGGCAAACATAAACCGTCCCATCTCGCGGCTGGGGCCATGCCCAGGCTGCCCACCCTGCCCTCCCTCGGGGAGCTCGGGGCAGTTCCGCCTGGCCAAACCGGCGCGTGGAAAGGTAAACGTTCCTAAAGGAAATAGTTGGGCTAATAAAAATGTGTACATATATGTGTGTGTGTATATAGATATATATATATGTATATACAGACATATATATATATATATATATATATATATATATGGATGGATGGAAATGGTATACACAGTACGGCAAACCCGGCGGGGGGGGAGAAGGTAAAGGAGCCCGAGCGAGGGTTCGGGGAAAGCAAAACGAAAGGTGTAACAGGAGATAAGCGGCGGAGATGGAGGAGAAGCGAACAAGAAGTATAAAAACGGGGAACACAAATAAGGAGTGGGGGGAAAAGTTGCCCGGGCTAATCCGACCCGGGCCCGCGGCGCCGCCAGACGCCGACACACGATAATGGGGGGGCCGCTGCGCCGCGCCGCCCGCCGCCAATGGGCGCGCGCGGGCGTGACGTCCCCGCGCGTGACGTCGGGCCAATGGCGAGCGGGCTGAGTTGGAGCAGAGAAGTTTGAGTAAGAGATAAGGGTGAGGCGAGTGCCCGCAGCCGCCAGCGCCCAGCTCGGCACCGCCGCGCCTCCGCACCGACACTGCACTGCACCGCGCCGCACCGCCACCGCGCCGCCCCGCGCCGCTACCGCACCGCCACCGCTCCGCTCTGCGCGGCCGGATCCCGCCGCGCCCCCGTCGCCGCGCCCCGCACCGCGCGCCCCCTGAGCGCTCCGCAGCCCTGACAGTGTCTCCCCACGCTGGTGGTGTTTTGTGCCATTTTCTTTTTTTTTTTTTCTTTTTTTTTCACGATTTCGATTTTTTTTTCTTTTTATTATCACTACTTTTTTTTTTTTTTTAATTTTATTTTTGTTTTTAGCGACAGCTCTCAAACCTACTTTGGGGTCTTAAAACGAAACCGTACACCATTTCACTGTGGACATTACACCCTCTTTCAGATATGGGAGACATGGGAGACCCACCAAAAAGTAAGGCGGAATCTTTACCGTTGTTGGAATAAATGTGCTGTCTATTGTAACCGTCTCAGGCAGGCGAACTGCTAAAGTGCTGAACTTCATTTGAATGGTAGAGAAGGTGCCTTTGTTGCCATGCCTGCATGCTTACTCTGTTTTAACGTCGTAGCGTTATATGTTAACAGCCTCGGGTCCTGCTCTCTTTTAAAGTTTGTGAAGCAGACAGGAATTTAATGGGATCTCCAAACACGGAGCCTTAAGTTCTTCTTGTGATAGACTGCGGTGAGGCTAACTGTCCAGCACCTAGTCGGTCTAGGGTAGTTCGCATTAGACTTGCGAAAGACAGCAAGTGACAGCCTTAATGATGCTTGTTCTTGCTAGAAGCCTCGACTCCCCTCTTCCGAGGGAAAAGTCTGAATGGGAAGTGCACGTAGCCATGCTTCATCGTTTCCAGTCACAACCTCTTGAAATATGAAATAATGCACAAAGCCACTGTCCTCGTAAGGCAGGGCATTCAACCAAGCAAATAATAAAATAAAAATAAAACAACATGGGAGTTTGGAGTTTTGATTCCATGCAAGGTTTGTGAAATGAGGACCTTCACCCCGAAGACTCTTCACATTTGCGTTTTAACATATGTTCCTCCTCCTTTCTCAACGAGGCAAGGTTTTGATGGCACACTTCAGTTATCATCCAAAAGTGCAATACAAAAAACCCCCAACTCAAGACCAATAAACCCATTAAAAAAAAACCAAAACAAAAAAACAAAAAAACCCACACAAAATCCCCCATAACAAACAAAAAAAGGCAAAAACCAAACAACAACACTCTCGGAATACGCTTTATAAGGGAATGGCATTAAAAGTGTGTTTATCTCTGTAGGAGAGTAAATGGTTAGTCAATCATGTATTTATTTTCATTTCAGAAAAACGTCTGATTTCCCTATGTGTTGGTTGCGGCAATCAAATTCACGATCAGTATATTCTGAGGGTTTCTCCGGATTTGGAATGGCATGCGGCGTGTTTGAAGTGTGCAGAGTGTAATCAGTATTTGGACGAGACCTGTACGTGCTTTGTTAGGGATGGCAAAACCTACTGTAAAAGAGATTATATCAGGTATGCCATTTATATTGTTTAATTCTTCAGTGAGATTTTATTTTTATGTTGTTTAATTCTTCGGTGAGATTTTATTTTTATTTTTAAGTTTATAAATTTGACAGATGCATGAAGAGGAAAAATTGAGAGGAAGAGGTTAAAGACAACTGGTATATTTTTATGTGGTTTCCCATAGACAGACCGGCAAGGAAAAATGTAGTCGTGAAGTTTTTTTCCATAAATTCAAATGCAAATTACTGTATAAACAAAACTAGGTTCGAGACTGTGTAGGATCTTTCTGAGGACTTTGTCACGTAAACCTTTGATTCTAACAAAGTGGGAAATCGTAGGTAGTGGATATTTTTAACCATGTAGGTATTACGAGCAACATAGAAGTGATTGCTTTCTAACACAACCTGAGAAAAACATCCCTCTGTGTTTTTGCAAAGACAGAATGGCATTCATAAGAACGACTCTTCAAGCATGTATGCCGCAAAAATAAATACACGGGTGAAAAAAAATACTTAAATCAGGCCTGTCTAAAACAGAAAGCAAAAGGAAAACAAAAAGAAAACGCAAATTTCCTTCATATTGAAGATTCTTTTATGGCGATGTTAAAACCTAGACTGAAATGTTTCTTAGCTAAAATAACTGACATTTAATCTTTTTAAATATTAACCCCTTTGGTGATATCTGACTGCCTTTGCTTTCTTATCTTATCTGTACTGATGAATTAGACAGACCAGATCAAATTGCCCATCATCTGTTCGCGAACAATTGGGTATATTTAGATAATGGAACCGCTTCCTTCCTCACATTAAAATCTGGTAACTGATAAAATGTGAACGTTGCCAATCCTAACACTATAGAGAAACCAAAGCAGGAATTTCGAGTGTGTTTATTATTTGTGCTCTTGGGTCATGCTGATCCATTTCAGTGTCACCTACTGGGTTTGCCAAATCAGAAGTTTGAATGACACTGTGGTATGAAAAGCATTTTTTTTTTTTACAGAAAGTTTCGGAAGCAAGTCCCTGAGACACCTAAAATATCGTCTGATTTCTGTGTAATTCTGAACTGAATAAACCCCTTGACTCTTTCCTGCTCCAGTGCACAATTTATAAACAGACCATTCCTTCAAACCATTGTGAGATTATTCTCCAAGTTCTATAATGACGAAAACTAGAGCTTTTAAGCTTTATTTATTTATTTATTTATTTCTTCTTTACTTTTAAACGAACTTTGGAGCCATTCTTTTAAGTGTTGTTCTTTCACTGATTTCAAATGAAAGGAAAACGCTTGGACTGAATTGTGTTCACTTACCTCCTTATGGAACTCAGCGGGAGAAATGTAAGCAGAAAAAAAAATGCTGCCCTATTAAGTTAATATGGAATACATTTAGTTTGCTACAATTTAAAAAGGAAGACGTATGTTACATGCAAGGTGACTTTGAATTAGACCGTGAGCCTATCTATCTATAGGTGTCAATCCTGTGGGCAACTACCACAACTTTTGTACATATGAATGCACATGCTTAATGATCCCTCTATTCTTCTGCTGTTTAGCTGTTTGTTTGGGGGTTTTCTTCTCAAAACTGTATAATTTCGATAATTTAGCTCTGTATAATTTAGCTCTGAATATAGGACTAGCACACCTTTATAGCCGTAGCAGCTAAAGAAGTGTTTAAATAACATCTGTACCCACATACGTGTTACACAGACTGTATCTCCAAGGAAGTATACTGGTGAGGAAATGAGTGGGAATAAATAATAGCTCAGTTTTAGGAGCAGTTTTCACAGTTCTGTGTATCGTGAGCATGCATATGTGCGTATATCCGTACATTTGCAGAAAGTTATTAATTTTACATCGTATAAAGAAAGCTTCTGGCTAAAGAGCGCTCGTTGGTAGCCAAAAGACTGCAGTGCTAGGCACTCGAGTTGGAGGATTTCTCGTGTTTATTTGCTGGTGGGTGAACTGCCCCCCCTTCCTCCACGGGAGACGAGGAGCCCGCCACCCACTCCAGAAAGCTATTATTTGCCTTTTTGGGCTGTCAGCAAGGAGCTGCCCTCTCATTCCTGCAAGAAGGCTTGAGCCCCAGCTCAAGGTGTGAGCGGCAGAAGAAGGGAAAACAGGGCAGGGAGGCTGAAGAAGGGACAGGCTGCAAAGCCAGAGCACCCAAACTGCCTTTTAGTTGGAGGCAGAAGAGAGGAGTTACATTACTATATATGTGAGCCTGAGGAGACGTGTGTATGCTTATATTGTTGTATAAAATCAACTTGGTGAGAGGGGACGAGAGGAAGAGACTGCGCGCTGGCAGTCACCCCTGCCGCGTCCCAGAGGCTAAGCTAACGGCAGTCCAGGCACACATCAAGCGGCACAAGTCCATAGTGGGTTTCGCGCAAATAAATACGATAGTTTTGTGAGGCTGGCAGGTTTGTGCGTGGGGAGTGCATGGCAGCTTTGGCAGCGTCGCCTTTCCGAGGTATGCCCGGGTAGTCCAGTTCAGTCCCAGGCCAGGTTAGGTCAGGTGAGGAGGCAGGGAGAGGGCAGGAGCGGCCCCACTCCCTCTTCAGCTCGGGCGCTGGGGCAGCAGGGAGAGGTCAGATCTCCTCGGGAAGCAAAGGGGTCCTTTTTTTTTTCTTACACTTTTTGCCTCACCACTCTTCCACTGGTGCTTTCGGGTCCCCTCCACCTTTTAAGGCATGGGGATCAGCGCACGGACCGCAAACGAACCCGGCTTATTCCTTTCCTCTTCTGGTTTCTTTATTTTTCGTTCTTTTTAAAGAAGCGGATTGCGTGCGGCGCGTCTACGCGGGGCAAGGGGCTGCCCACGAGCGGGAGTGAAAACCTCTTTCTTTTTTCCTTTCCTTTCTCCCCCCCGCCCCTTCCCTACCCTCCCCTTCCCCCTCCTGTGCTCTCCCTTCTTCCCTCCCTTCTCCTTCTTTCTGGGCTGGGCCCTGATCAGGTTATACGGCATCAAGTGCGCCAAATGCAGCATCGGCTTCAGCAAGAATGACTTCGTGATGCGCGCCCGCGCCAAGGTGTACCACATCGAGTGTTTCCGTTGCGTGGCCTGCAGCCGCCAGCTCATCCCCGGCGATGAATTCGCGCTGCGGGAGGACGGCCTCTTCTGCCGGGCGGACCACGACGTGGTGGAGCGGGCCAGCTTGGGCGGCGGGGATCCCCTCAGCCCCCTGCACCCCGCCCGGCCGCTGCAGATGGCAGGTACCGCCCGCGCCCAGCGCCGCGGGAGACCGCGGGGTTTGGCGACGCCCGGCCCCGCGCGGGGCGCCCGGGAGAGCTCCACGCTCCCAGAGGGTCCCGCACCTCCTCGGAGAGGCGGCGGGCGACTGCCCCACGCCCAGGGCTGCCGCGAGAAACGCCCGGGTTCGCGGGACGCGCGAGGCGGGACACCTGCGGAGGGGCCGCACCCCCGCTCGTCCTGCGCTCACCGCGGACGGGAGTCCTCCGTCACGCTCTCCCGAGCCCCGAGCCTGAGTCTGAGCCGGAGAGGGACAAGCCGCTGAGGAGAGCAGGTCTACGGCAAAGAGCCGGCCGATCCCCCGGCCGCCTCAGGAGCGTGTGCAGAAGCTGTTCTGAACGCTGGAGGAAGTGGGGTCCTAAAAGAGATAGACTTCATAAGTACAGGCGAGCGCTTAGGCTGTAATTTAAAACTGTCAACAGGCTAATCTTCGGTAATTGCCTTTTAAAGTGACTCTGCCTTCTTGAAATGTTTCTTGTGATTTGATGAGAATTTCATCTCAAAACTCAGCCTAGTAACTTCAGACTCGCCCCACCTTACAACTTCACTCACACTTGTAGTTCTCGACGTGGCACGTCAGATACTCAGAGACTCTTAGCTTTAGGAAAGGACACATCTCTTTAGGAAGCAAGCTATGCTGGACGACACAAGGTTGGCCGGCATTATTGCTGTGCATGTAACTGTAACTCGGAAGGTTATTTGCAATGTTTAGCTATGCTAAAACGGGCTCGTTTCCCTCTTCTGAGCTGCTTTCAGGTAACATGCTTATATTTAGGGAGAAATAATCCTGTACCTGATCAGGGCAGAATTCTAGAGAGACTGTGCTCCCTATAAGGTGTTTGTGCATGTCTCCGAAAGTCTTATTGTGTCGGCAGGTATACTGATAAGATTTGAAGCCTTCGTATTGTCTTCATTGCATTTGCTGATGTGCTATTATAATCAGAGAAATCGGAATCCGACTGTACAGAAGCGAGCACCTCAGAAAGTTAGCTAAACAGCTTTAGGAGAAAAAAAATAGCAATGTTTTTATTTTTCTCTTGACTGAGTCAATTTACACCTACACAGCTATAGCTACACAATGCACAGAAGAATGGCAGAGTTACAGGAACACTTCTAGCACTTGATGTGATGCTACCCGTAGGTTTGCATTTCTTGACGGTTTCCACGGGTTACTGGGCTTGCTCTCCCTTTTAAAGAATCAGATAAACTTTTTTTTTTTTTTAATATTCTTCTGAAGTCTAAACAAATTCACCTAACACCTTCACTTTCTAAGATAGACGCCATCCTCTGTGCTTTGGTACACAGGGCTCTCACAGGCTTTTTCTCCATGGGCTTGGTGCAGAGGATTTGGCTTGTTTTGCTTTGATTTGGAAGCATCAAACCACTGGGAGCTATTGCATGTTATGGCGGCTTCTGGCTAAATTGAGCTAGATTCACTATACAAGAAGCAGACCCAAATTATGATTAATTTAAGAAGTATTCTTTCATTAATTTTTGGGCCAAAAATCTGGTTTGGTGATTTGTCAGGAAAAAAAACACACAAACCCCTCTCACTCCTTTCCTAGCACACATACACCTTAGCAAACTCGCCCTCCCCTGTCAAGTCTCATACAGGTTCAAGCTTCTGTCATTAAGGGTTTTAGGGGGGTGGTTTGTTTTTGCAAATTAATTATCTGAGGAATCAGAAATGTCAGTCACTCCACCAGCACATAAAGCAGAGGAGTCTGCAGCAGCTCCGATAGATCTGAGTGTTTGAATGGCCTTTGAAAGAGGGTTCATCACCTGCCCCCCCGCCCCCCTCCCCCTGTCCCACCAGCTTAGATTCATAGTCTCTGCAGACTCCTTGCTTCCTACTCATGGGGATCCTGTTCCTCCCTTCCCCTACAGCAGAACCTATCTCTGCCAGACAGCCAGCTCTGCGGCCCCACGTCCACAAGCAGCCGGAGAAGACCACCCGAGTCCGGACTGTCCTCAATGAAAAACAGCTTCACACCTTGAGGACCTGCTACGCTGCCAACCCCAGGCCTGACGCCCTCATGAAAGAGCAACTGGTAGAAATGACTGGCCTCAGCCCGAGGGTCATCAGGGTTTGGTTTCAAAACAAGCGATGCAAGGACAAAAAAAGGAGCATTATGATGAAGCAACTTCAGCAGCAGCAACCCAATGACAAAACTGTAAGTGGCTTCAGCCTCTGTCGGTGTTCTGCCTTAATTCCCAAGGCTAAACGCCTGGGATACATCCGGCCCGGACAGCCTCGGGGCTCGGTTTGATGCTTTTGATTTTTTGCGAGCTCCCTTAAAGAAAACTATACCTCGTAGCTATTACTGGTTTGTTTCTGCAGTCAGTGCAATCGAAACAGACGACAGCGAGGAGCCTATATAGGCTGCTTACGCGAACCCAAATCTTTTGCGAGGCTAAAGATACATAGCGGCTTAGACTACTTTCTTCTCTGCAGCGTGAATTGTGACCTGGAGAGATCATGGGATATAGTAAGCCCAGGTTTGTGTAATGTCGATACTGCAAATGCAAAGGACTCTTTAAGGGGAAAATGACGTTTTCGCCCTCTTCCCTCGTTTTAAACAGGAGTAAATCCAGTAGGGAAAAAAAAAAAAAAAAAGGCATGAGGGAATTTAGATGTGTTTTTCTTAGCATTTATATACTATTATTTGTATAGGTGTGATAGGTGTGTGTTTGTCAGTGCACTTACTGTAGAAAAATACAAATGCAATGCAAATTTTTCAGAATTACCATCGTGTTTACAGGTTAATTTATAGATAGTTTTATGTATTTTGAGTTGTTGCCTGCGGACATAAGCGTGTGTGATGCAAACAAACGGAAAGTAGAACAAATTGTCTCCATTTTAAGCCATTTTTTTTCTTTCTATTGTCGCTAGTCCACTTCAGTAAGAGTCTGTTACTCTCCCTGTGTATATTGACTGACCTGAGAATGACTATTAATTCGTAAGGCTGCCTAGTTAAGTGGAATTTAAGGAGTTTCATTTTACCCTGTTGGAATGCAATAAAACACAGTGTTATTAACTTTCCTGAACAATCTATTTGTCGAGGCTTGGAGTTATGTTGTACACTGTTCCTGCACCACAAGGCGTACTGGGAGGGCTGTTTTGTTTTGTTTTGTTTTGTTTTTAAGAGCGAGGTAATGACGTACCCCAGTGGATGCCATGCAGTGGATATACGATCTAGTTAAGGTCACGCAGAACAAAACCAGCCTGGATGCGACATAGGAAGGGAGGAGAATTAACCGTTTCTTGTTCTGAGACGTGCATCGGCAGTCGAGATACAGAATGATCATATTTAAGAAAGCTTAGGACGGAGGCAGTATGCCTTGAGACGAATAGGAGGATTAAAGGGAAAGAAAGTAAACTTCCACCGTGATAAATGCAGCGGGTAGAAACAGGCTGACCTAGAGTAGAATAGAGTAAGACATTCACAGCAGATTAACAAAGCAAATACAAGAGACCGTATAGATAAGATAGAAAGCAGTTTATTGACTCAGCACTTATATACAATGAACCTAATCAAGCTCATTAACATCTTTTGCTGGGCTGTTTACAGAATATCCAAGGGATGACAGGAACTCCTATGGTGGCTGCTAGTCCGGAGAGACATGACGGTGGTTTGCAGGCGAACCCCGTGGAGGTGCAGAGTTACCAGCCGCCCTGGAAAGTACTGAGTGACTTCGCGTTGCAGAGTGACATAGACCAACCTGCTTTTCAGCAACTAGTAAGTGTCGGTTCCCAGCCGGAGCAGGCCAGCCGGCATCAGGGGCAGTGCAGTAGGGGATTCATTAAAAATGCCGGATGCTCTCAGGGAGACGAGCAATCCAGGCTAGCTGGGTTTTCCTGAAATTACAAGGTGGATATGATAACACCTAGAAACACTGAAAACTGAATTGATATCATAGGGGTTGATGCATAAATCTACCTTAGTGTACAGCAGAGCTCTTGCCAAGTTGACTTTGAGTTTGGGTAAGGCCTGACCCAGGTCTGAGAATAACTCAGCTTTCACACTCCTGAAAACTGAAAGCACCTCATCCAGAGAACTAAAATATTCTTCACATGTCATTTAGTCGTACTTACATTTGTGAAAGCAGTTCACAAATCTAAGTGAAAAATTAAAAATTCGCCCCTCCCCACTTTGGGCCAATTTTGGCTTTATGCCATAGGGTGAATTTTAAATGCATGTCATTGCAATGTCAATCTCGGGCCCTTGTTTTGTCACACACATATCAATCAATTAAAATTTTGAAGTCCTTTTTTAAAGCATATATCTCTAGATAAAACTTCATATATTTACATACCCAGACAAAGACACCTATATATATATAGCTTACTTTAAATGTTGTCCTTCTTTAGAAAAGAAATAGTTAGTATGTATTCAGGTGAAAAATTCAAGAATATAATAAACTGCCTTAAGCCAAAAGAAGATAGATATTTTAGAATAAATTCTGTTCTTAACTCCTTTCCTTATGCCTACATCACTCGGTAGCTTATGTGGGACCATATCATCTACAATACTTAGGCCCAACAAGGTCAATTAAGGACAGAAATTCAACCTTAATTCAATTTCTTGGCCTAAGTGTGTTAAAACCAGGTTTAAAATAATAAGGTACGTTGTGTATGGTATTTCAATAATTCAAAATAATAGTTATGAAAAATTAACATGTAAACTCTTTTATGATCTGTTGGACATTTTTTTCTTACATGAAACAATGCAAGACAAAGGTTTGTAGCTGAATCTAACACTGTGTTCAAATCTTTTAGGTTTAGTACTATGCTCTCTTGCAGAATCACTTTTCTTTTGCCCAACAGCAGTCTGCAGCTTGTTTCCCTCACTGGCACACCGTGCTTGCTCAGGGAAATATAGCACAGCAGCAGGACCATTTGCATCCTCTTACATCTAGAGCAACCCTTGTTTTTCCTGTTTTAATCAAACTATCCATCATACAGGAGGAAAAATTATCTCCTTCTCTTGCCTTACTTGACTGTGCCTTAACCGAATATGAGACTTTAGAAATCTTTGATGCAGTGAGTTTTTGTATGGAATAGTCGAAAAAAAGAGAGAGAGAGAAAAAAAGCAGAATAGAAGATGGGTAGTTCAAATACACATATGCTTATAGGTAGACAAATCATTAGATTGAGAGATTAATATTAATATACATTCGATATAATTCGTGATACTGAAAAGAGTTAAAATAAAGAATAGTGGATGGAACAGACAATTCATCCACTGTTCAAGGCACGTCTCTAATCTGGAAAGGGCCTTAATCACAGGATTGGCCAGCTAAATTGGTGCCAAAGAAATGCTTTTGGATTAGCAAAGCTCCACCCTTCGAATCATGTCTTTTCCCAACGCTGCTCCTAAACTAACAGGAGCAGTGGGGCACATTAGGATGGAATAGTGTGACCTTTTTTATCAAACTGACTCTCATTAAGAAGAGATAGCACCCGCCTCAAATCACAAATGAAAGAGGATGGCTGGCTTCAAATGCATTCTGCTGCTGCATGCTCCTTCCAGGTTTATTTTGGTATGTGCACAAAAGGGGAAAAAGCTAACCTTTCAGTTTCGTGTCAAGAAAACATATGCACTCCTAAATAATTGACTAGAACATCCTGTTGGGATTGCCACTCTTTCAAGACGGGGAAGAAGACCTCATTAATAAGTTTGTTTGTTTATTTGCTTGATTTTTGAGTCTCTTTTTTTCCTTTATTTTTATTTTTTAATCTACTTTTTCTCGGTTATTTGGCCAAAGGCCTGAAGAGGGTTCCTGTGAAATCAATGGGGAAGCTAAACAGAGCAACCAGCAGTGACACAGCCTCCTGTGGAGATGTATCAGGC